AACAAAAGACAGGCATATGAGCTGAACAGTTACATTAGGCAGATGCACTCCTTGGAGAGATCAGTCATGGAGAATAGAAGAGTTGTATATGCATGGAGAGACAGCTTGAGAGGCAGGGGTGCATGGGAGGGAAGAACACAGGGAAGAGGTAACTATGGGGAAGAAGTGGAGGAGAGCTGTTGCGTCATTGGAAATTGCAGTCAATGTCATGAGACAAAGTGTATGTGAGCTGCTATATGGAAAGTGAATTTGCTCTGTAAACTCTGACCCAAATCACAATAAAAATTTTTTTAAAAAAGAATGTCCATATATATAATAGAGCTAACAGAGCAAAGTTATGATAACTTTTAGCCACAGCCAACCGCCCTAAGGAGCGAGTTGGTAGGCCCATGGGCATGGGACCATCGTCATGGGGGACAGCAAGCTCAACTGGCAAATTACACTACAGAAAAACATTGTTCTACATCCTACTTTGGTGAGTAATGACTGGGGTCTTAAAAATTTGCAAGTGAAACTCAAAATTGTTTGGAGGCAAAAAAAAAAAAAAAGAAGGTGGGGTCCAGGTTTGCTGGTCCAATGGAGCCTGGTGTAACCACTGAGACTATGGCCCCTAGTTGCCCTTCAGGTCTGGAATTGAACCCACAACTGTGGTTTCCAGCCAAACAAAGTACAGGCATGTGAGTTAAACATTTACCTCAAGTAGACACACGCCCTGGAGAGAACAATCATGGGAGAAGGAAGGGCTGCTTATGCACAGGAAGATAGCTCAGGGTGCAGAAGAGTATGAAGGGATGGACACTGGGAGGAGGTAACTATGGGGAGGAAGTGGGAGGGGAGCTGCTGCATTGTAAATTTTGGTCAATGACATGAGACAAAGTATATGTGAACTGCTGTATAAAAAGTGAATTTACTCTGTAAATCTTCACCCAAATCCTAATAATAAAAAAAAAAAAAAAATTTGCAAGTGGCCATCTGAGATGCAACAACTGGTCTCTCCTCATCTGGAGCAAAGAAGAATGAAGAAACCCAAAGACACATATAGCACCAATTCTTCCAAGGGATTGGTGGACTATGGGAACCTCAGCCTACATGACCCTGAGGCCAGAAGAACTCGATGGTGCCCTGCTACCACCATCAACCACTCAGAAAGGGATCAGTGTAGGAGATTCTGGATCGAGTAGGAGAAAAATGTGGAACAAAAATCAACATCATAAAAAAGACCAGGCTTACTATTCTGACAGAGCGTGGTGAAACTCCTGAGACTATGGCCCCTAGTCACTCTTTGGGCCTGGAATTGAACACACTCCTGTGGCTTCCAGCCAAACAGAAGCTAGGCATATAGGAAAGAAGGACAGAGGGAAGAGGTAACTATAAGGAGGAAGTAGGAAGAGAGCTGTTACATTATGGGGATTGAAAATCAATGTCATGGGAAAACTGAACAGAAAATAAATTTTCTCTGTAAACTTTCACCCAAATCATAATTAAAAAAACAAAAGACCAGGCTTAGTGGTCTGATGGAGACTGATGAAATCTATGAGACCATGGCCCCCAGTCACCCTTTGGGCCTGGAACTAAACTAACTCCCATGGCTTCTAGCCAAACAACAGATAAGCATATGGGGTGAACATTTACAGCAGGTAGGTACGCTCCTTAGAATACTCAACCATAGCCTATCAGTGGAGCAGTATTTGCACAGTGAAATAGCTCAGAGGGCAGGAATGCATGGGAAAGAAGAACACAGGGAAAAGGTAGCCACAAGGAGGAAGTGGGAAGAGGGCTGTTACACTGTGGACATTCCAATTAATGTCATGAAACAAACTGTATATGAATTGTTGTACAGAAAATAAATTTGCTCTGTAAACTTTGACCAAAATCACAATAAAAATAAAAGGAAAGCAAAATTAAGGCTATATAGGTAATCACTGTACTATTCTTTAAACTTTTTTGTAGGTTGGAAAATTTCAAAATAAGTAGTATGAAAAAATAAGCAAATGCAACTTCTGAGTAAACAAAAGTTTAAATATAACACCAAAACTGTATCACAGAATGTTTTTGTGGTTAAACCTTTCCTAACTTTAGTTATTAATGCTACTTCAATATTTATAACAGAAAAATATTAGTACTAAAACACTGATGTCCAATAGAACTTTCTGTGAAGATGGAAATGTTCTGTATGTAGGCTACAGTAGCTACTAGGCACAGGTGGCTACAGAGTACTGGGCATGTGGCTAGAGTGACACTGTGGCTAGGAATGGAATTCTAAATTTTAAATAATCTCATGTGCCTACTGTCTACTATACTGGAGAGGGCAGTGTCAAAATGTTAAGGAAAAATACAAATCCTATAATCAATAATTTCAAATATGTTAAAAAAAATTAAGATAAGCAGGAAGTACTCAAAACACACAACTCTTTCCCATCTATGTACTTTTCAAAGGTTGTCAAATTTTCTATAAGATATAATCAAGAAAATAACTTAAAAAAAGTCAGTGCTATATCTAAATTAATCACTAACAAAATCAAATTGACTCTTGAATCTTCATTACAAACACTGAGTTGGATGGATTAATTTTACTGCAGTTATTAAGAGTTACATAAAATACTGTCAAATATTGGGGATAAAAAATACACTTTTGTGGTGGTTAAGTTTGTCAACTTGGCTGGGCCTGGTTGAGTGGCTAGGCAGCTGGTAGTAGTTATTCCCCATGAGGACTGGCAATCAACGCTATGGTGGGACCTACCACAAGCAGCTGAGTAGCTGCTTTAGGGATGTGGTCTGCTTCCCGTATATAAGAAACAACTTTGAGCCTGAACCCTGCATGAAGCTGTGTCGTTCAGCAGCCAGCCATGCTCTGCCAACATTGGGACTTTCAATGGACTTGAATTAATGGCCTGCTGTGTGGTTTGGTGACATCGGGACTGTGCCATTTTATTTGTCGACCTTAGGTCTGTCAGCTTCAGCAGCAAGCAGCTGCCTGAGTGAAGAGATGCCTCTAGTTTCAGTGGGCCAGGAGCAAGAGGCAGAGCTGAAGCCCAAGGTCAAGGGGCTTTCACACAGCCCCTAGAGACTGCATTTTGAACTTGGACTTCTAGCTTCCCGAACTGTAAGAGAATAAACTCCTGTTTGTTCAAGCCATCCCATTTGTTGTATTTCCGTTAGAACAGAACTAGGTAACCAGAACAACTTTCTTTTCTCAAATCTGAGGAAATACTTATAAACAAAAACATTTAAGTGAAATGGTCTTACATTCCAGTCACCACTGAGGATATCTGCAAAACTCAGAAATTCACTGGCTCTCACGACATCATCTATTTCCACGAAGAAATCTATGTAGTTTTGGTGAAGATATAAATTAAATAACTCTCCTGGCATGTGTGACATTTCTACTACCTCCTATAAAAGAAATATATATGTTTTACAGTATATAGTCCCATCAACAACAAAATTAAAATTCAGAAAAAAACAAAAAATATATATAAATGTATACGTGTATACATAATTTTTGTTAAAACATGCAGTGGTCAAATATACATACACATAAATTATATAAATAATATGTATTTCTTAAATAGCACTAAATACCACTAGACACTTTACCTCAGGCTGAATAACTAATGTATCCCGTTCATACTCTGATAAATGAGAAGGCAACCGAGGTGAGTCTAATTCTGTTAAAGATGCTCCTATAAAAAAATTTTTGTAGTTATTAAAGATAAGACCATTTTTATAATAATATATTTCTTATATAAAGATTTCCAACACTTTAAGCACATAATACCAAAAATAACTTAAAAATAAAGAACATAAATAACAAAACAACTAGAAACTTGTGAGTTGGCTATCCTATCATAATTAGTGAGAACTAAATTTGGGAGACTTTAAAATAATCCATTATTCAAACACTCCCATTTCACTTTGTAGCTCTAGGTTACTTTCTCCCTTTTATTTACTAAGTAGAAAGATGCTGCTTTCTGAATAAGAGAATGGAACCTCACTCCCTAAAGGAAGAAGTTATAAATGAATGCTGGGAAAGAAAAAGAAAGGATAGAGAAGTTTCAGGTGGGCAAGGTGAGTGAGGTGCAGAAGTAAGACGATCTTTGGATACAGGGAGGCCTCCACTGCCACCTAAGTGATTCCATTTCATTTTCCTCCTCCAAAATCGTAAGATTTTTTTTTTGGTTTGCTTTAGAATCATAAGAAAGGTTCTGGTGGTGTAGTGGTTAAGGCATTTGGCTGCTAACCAGAAGGTTGGTGACTTGAACCCACAAGCTGCTCCACAGAAGAAGACTGGGCAGTTTGCTTCTGTAAAGATTTATAGCCTTGGAAACCCAGCAGAGGTTCCTGAGTCAGAAGACTTGATGGCAGTGAGCTTGTTTTTTTTTTTTTTTTGAGAATCTTAAGAATAAAAAGTGGTACCTGTAACACAAAGAAATGGAGCCAGCACTGTGCTAAAGGAAGGGCAATTAGGGAGCTTAGAAATGAGCAGTAGGGTGTGGAGGGGCTAAGAAGAAGTAGGTATCAAAGACCACCAAAGAGGGTAATGAACATCTCCAACTGGAAAGACAGCAAGCTAGTGAAGAGTATAGAGGAAGATCAGAGGAGCCAAGAAAACCCCAAGCTACTTGGCAATCTGTCTGGAGCCCTGGCAGCTGCTGCCAAAAGGGCATTGGGCTGACCTACACTTGCTACTAAAGTTTAGATGGATTAATGTCTTCCCTGAAGCATACTATTATTTTAAAGGTTTACTAACAGTAGTTTCTTTTTACATTTAATCCCACTCATAGCCAGAAAAATACTTTATCTAAACATATTCTCCTGCTGTGGAGTAGGCCTTGCC